TTTTGTATATACCTGAAAGACATACATGAAAATATCAAAATGCAGAAGGACTGAACTGAGTCTCAAATATAACTATTCAGTGAGATCCAGCAACAACAGAAAATATGTCTGATTTCTTTTGCTCTCAGTTTTCAAGCTGATGAATGTTACATTCAAATATCTCTACAGTAGCTGGGCTTACACAGAAGAGTAAAGTAGCATCTCTTTTCCCATGGACTTTAGTATGTAAATGGGTAGAACCTTTTCTACAGCAGTGCTTCTCTGTATGCTGTAATGCTAATTGTTCCTGGGACTAAAAACCCAAGAAAGTTAACATAATGAGAGGCATAAAAGGATAAAAAAATTGAGCATGAAAAATAACATTATAACTTCATTATTCTCCTTCTCCTTCAAGAGGTTGGTGTTTCCCAAATAATAATGCTGAAAAGCAATCAGAATGAAGAACAGATAATACAATTTCTTAATCCATTTTATATCCCTGCTAGAAGCAAAACATCTGGAAGATCCTAGAAAACTTCCTCTCTTCCAAACTCCAGTGACTCCAAAGAACACAAATCATCTGAAGGATTTTGACAGTACAATTCAGTGTTCTGATTTCCCCATCTATGTGGCTGTCTAAAGCCAAAACTACTAGAACTGAATGGGAAGTAGTCAGAAGGGATGGGAGACATAGATCAAAATAGAGACATTTTCAGTGAGAAATGCAGAGAAGCAATGTGGACCTGAGGAAAGGAAGAGAGGAATACTGATAAAAAAATGCTTGGATAAGAAAATCAAATGAGAGTGGGGAGGACAGGAATTAAAATGGGAGAAGATAAATAAATGGAAATGCAAAACAAAGAATAACGAGGAAAAAACTTGTTCCTGCTGACCAGTTTAAAACAAAGTATAGTGTATTTATTAAGATTTAGAATGGGAGCATGCATCAGGAGTGAAGCTGGTGGTTTAGATTTTAAATATGGGAAAGGAACTAAGACTACATCAGTTCTGTTTGATAACTTCATTTCTTCAGCCCAGTCCCAGGATCTGGTCCCCTGTCATTCACATCTGAATATATTCATCCCTTTGTGTGCTCTCACTTGGAGTTAATTGAGTTAATTGACTGCTTCCCACCAGGAGGAAGTCAGGGCAGGGCCCTGGAGGCTGCTGTGTGACCAGCACAGACAGGACTAAGGCACCATCCTCCCCAGCTTGTCCTCTCCAGCTCACCATCCAGCACAGAGATGAGCAGCAGAGTCCCCTGTCCGGTCATTCCAATGCCACTCAGAAGGGCTGCTACCAGCCCACCTCAGTTTATTTCAAGCATTTTGAATTAAACGAACATTAAGGACAGAGATTACAATTTAAGGGGCCACCATATGGTGCCCCCAGGGGCCCTGGGGAAGCGTGTCCCAGCACGGATCCTCCCACGAAGGAAATGAGGCTGAAGCAATGTGGCCACCAGCTGTCCCCTGGCAGCCACCCCGGCTGCCTGCTGACCTACAGCTGTGGTGGCACAGGAGCAAGAAAAATCATGCAGCAAAATTCTGACTCCTGGATTGAGGTGGGGATGCAGACAGTGAGCTGGGGGGAGTCCTGGATGCTCCCCTCTGCTTTCAATCCAAGGGCAGACATTTGTAACAGCAGCTGCAACCCGAAAAATAACATTTTAGGATCACACCCAGAACAATAGAACACGATGAATTTTGGCCAACAGCCACTAACACACCCTTGATGTAATACTAAAGTCACACATGGCAAGGTACTCCATTATGAAATCTTACATAATCATCTTTCATTAAATTATTTTCTAGCGTCGTTCTCTGCTTATGATTTTGTTTTCCTCTTCATGTTTGCCTCATTCATGAATTAGCTTTCCACATCAGTTTTCTGTAGGACAATTTAATAATTTCAGCATGTTTTAAGAGCTTTTAATAAAGAAAATAAATTAATATTAATAAAATATCATGAAAAGTAAAAAATTGGCAGAGGTGATACAAATCAATGCTTTGCTGTATTTCCAGGGAGGACAAAAATGGATCATTTCCTATCTAAATAACTATTTTCAATGATCATTAGAAGTGTTGATAACATCTGTCTACAATTGTGTAACTATAAAAATTGCTCTGCTTTTTTTTCTTTCATTAGGAGAAGGAACAGGTAATGACACTGAACTTGAAAATATCTTGACTGGATTATTTTGTGATGATGATGATGATGATGATGATGATGATAATAATAATAATAATAATAATAATAATAATAATAATAATAATAATAATAATAATAATTTTCCTTTGAGCAGGAGCTATTGTCCAGTCAACAATTGTTCAGTGATCTCTTGAAGCCTTTATTTCATGCTGTTGTTTGGTGAAGTTTGCATGTGAGTTTACCAGAAGTTTCCCGTCTCACATACAGATGCCAGTACACTTCATTCTTTCGATAAACCTCATTTGGAGAATGTGAAAACTATTAAAATCAGAAGGTGAATCCTTGTTTTGCCATGCACTCCAGGAAATTCTGACAGCCTCAGCATCCTCCCATGAGCAGCCCAGCCCAGGTGCCCTTTTGTGTTGCTATAAACCTGAGTTGGGCAGGAGGACAGTCCCATGCCTGCTTCATGAGCCTCTCAGATGTAACTGGTGTGTGCATGAACACCATTGATGTGCATGCATCCATCAGCAATCTCTCCAGGAATGTGCAGGCTGACTGATAAAAATGCAGGTTGCACATTTCCAGACAGATGGCCACACTATTCAGAAGTGTCCTGGAACCTCTGGGGGTGTCACAGTGCCTTGGAAGCCCCAGGGAAATCACACACAGTCCTTCAGGACAATGTTGTCTTTAGCAGCAGAGCCACTCCCTGCCGGCAGAACATCTCCAGCCAGTCTGCTGGAGACTGACAAGTACTTGCTTTCCAGGCACTAAACTGCTGCAGACTAAAGGCACCCTAGGAAAAATGCCTTTTGAAAAAACTGATCAATTTTTCACTTTGCCCTTTATTTTCCTGGAGGTCAGCTGCTGTTGCTGATGTTGTTGCCTCATGAAGGAAGCCTAATCTGCTTAGTAGTGTAGAACTGACTTGCAAAACTCAAATTTCCAACATGGTATGTGCCAATAAAGATTCCACAAGAGGCTCCTGTAGAGACTTGCCTTTAGCAATGTGTCAGCAACAATTGCTTTATCCCTTGGGACACCGGAAGCAGCACTATCCAGCTACTCCCAGATGGATTTCATGATTGCAAAAGTGATAATATTTTCAGACTTTTTTTCTAGATGTGAAAACCAGTACTATAATTTTGCTTCTTTTATACATCCCAGCCTATCTAGAGGCAAAGCATATGTCAAGGAACTTGCAGGGCAGCAGCACAAAGGTAGATGCTGAGCATTGCCAGTGCCCTGCAATGTCACCAGCTCTTGAAGCTGAAGAGTTTCGTTAATTTTCAGTCCTCCAGCAAGCTGATACCAACCCTGTGTTTGTTTTTCTGAGCAAGAACTAACCAAAACCATGAAAAGTTAGGCTTCTTCACAGCATCTTTATGAGATGAGAGATGGCTACCTCCCTTCCTACTGTGCTACAGACAAAGTGAGAGAAAAATCACATTAGCCACAAGTGTCATTTTTAATGGAATGGGGGAAGCCAGGGAAGAAGGTGGACAGTACAGTGGGGATCCAGATGAGGCTGTATTTTGGAAACAGATGGCATCTTCAGGTTTTTCTGATGGAGGTGAGGTGTAGTTTGAGAGGCATATTTTTACTGGAAATTGTGCCTTAAACATTAATCACTTGAGCTCTGTGCAACCTGCAGGACAGAAGCACTTGTGCTGCCAAGAGGTGAAAACCCCCAGGATTTACTTTCTGGGTTTTTCTGGAGAGGAACAGGGGAGCAGAGCACAGCCCATCAGCCGTGTCTGTCCCGTGTCCCGCTGCCCGCCCCGTGTGCCCCGGAGCCAGCGGCAGGAGGACTGAGGTTGGCTGGAGAGATCAGCCGGTGTCACACGGTGGGAGGACCCAGCAGCATCGAGTTAAATTTTAACTTTGATGTGTATTTCCCAAGGGAGGGATGCCTGTGACGTTAAAGGGAAAACATTTCAACACTCACTTTGTGCATTTAAAAGCCAGGGAATGCCCTCACACGGAGCAGCACATGAAGCACTCAAACCTGAGCACAGAATCAATGAGGCTGGAAAAGAACTCTGATACCATCGAGCCCAGCCCGACCCCACCACGTCAGCCGGACCATGGCACTGAGTGCCACGTCCACTCTTTCCTTAAACACCTCCAGGGACGGTGACTCCCCCAGCCCCCTGGGCAGCCCATTTCACTGCCTAACCGCGGTTTCTGAAAAGAAATTCTTCTCAGAATTCTGAGCAGAAACACGCCTCTTCTGAGAAGAAATTCCTCCGAAGATTCAAAATTCTTCCTAACGCACAAAGTGCTATGGGTCCGTGCTTGCTGCCCGCCCCGCGCGGTTCTGAGGGGCAATCCGAGCTCTCCCTCACCGCTGACCTTTAATGACCTTTCATGACATTTCGGCTCCGCCGCCCAGC